TGATGCCCTCCTTCTTTCCTTGTCTGCTGGGAAAAGGAAAGCCCCTGTAGGGGCCAGGCTGTGAGTATGTGTGCAGAAATGGGGAGAGGCAGCTCCTCAGGAAGAGCTGAGCCTGCTCCATGATCCTCACTCGGGTCTGTCTCCTTGTCCCTTGAAATTATCCTGGGTGCTCAACTGCTACCTGAGGAGAGGTGTAGAGGGAAATCAAGACCAGAGTCCTTCTTCCCTTAGTAAACCAGACCACAAGAAACCCTTAAGGCACCATACAGTAAAATAAGCAAATTCCTTTCAGTGAAGTCACTTCCTTCAGCTGGGTAATCAGTGCTCAAACTAAACCTGAAGATAACAGTACCACAGCTGGAGAAATGTGAATTCACTGATGAGGTATTCTAGAATCATAAAAATAAAACATATTCTGAAAATTTTCTAAATTCTCATGAAACAAAATTGGGAACCAAATTTTTACTTAATTCTTCCTTAATTTCAATACTAATAATTTGTTAATTCCTCCTAGGCAACTCTCTAGGCAATATGCTGCAATATGTTTAGTTTTAGCATCCACAATATCTCTAATAATGTGTCTGATTGTTAATACAAGTTATCAAAATAATTTTACCAAATTATCAAAATGATATTAACAAAATCAAACAGAAAATACCAATTTACAACTTCTATCTAAATCAGCATGCCCACACAAGTTCTTGGCAGATTTTTCTCATTTGGTGACGTGCACTTTCTTCACTAGTTGCTAAATTACAAAACACACAACACTGGGGAATCTACAAATAAAGAAAGGAATTTAACAAAACCGTGGGATTATCTTTGGATAATGGCCTCCCCACAAGTATCATTTTCTTCTTAAAGCAGCTTTGCACTTCTCAGTCTCTGATGTTTATTCACCCACACACATTCTGTGTGATTTTAGAAATTAGTGGTAGGTCTTGACAAAACTCTTTCTTTTAGAATCTCTTGTACCAAGAGATTACAGCCTATATCCCTACATCTTGCAGCTACTTTGCTTGAAGTGTTTCTTCTAGTTGCTTTCATGCATACATGGGGCAATATGCACATCACTACATAAAACATTTTTTTCTTTGATGCTGATCTTATGAACTGATTTAAATATTGGTTCCCCTCATAATAATAGAACACATGTCTTGTTTCCTGTACAGTGACTCTATCTTCTTGAAATGGAATTGATTCAACATGGGAGTATAAGCTTTCAAAAGGCTACAGTTAGTGAACTTGGTTTTGAGATGTTTCCTGACAAAATGTGCCTCATCTAAGCAGTTGAAAGCAATTAAATTAACAGTTAACCAAATTATTATTGTTAAAAGTTCTATGTTGCTATTGATGCATGCACAACATAGACATGATTCTTAAAAATACTGTTCTGAAATACTGCATCATATCCTTCAGAATGGGACACAGATAATACACCCTTGCAATACTTTGAATTGGGGTATATCCGATAATTGGTAATCTTCAACTGTCAGTACAAATCATACAAAAACTTATGCCTACACTGCTTTAAACATCTTACTTAGAAGGTGTGCTGTATCACTTTGCCATAAATTTAGATTCTACATAGATTTTATGCAAGACAGATCAGCATTTTCATTCCTCTAAATGCTGCATATTTACCTTCTGAGATTGTGCTCTGCACCAAATTAGTGAGGCCTTGTTCTGACAAAGATATGCAGTATTAGGGAGCACTGTTTAGAGTGTAAGCAGGTAAAATTAACACTATCCTGAACTTCTCAGTTCTACAATTTTGTTCTTGTGATTTTCTTATGAAAAATGTGTCAGATAAGTCACATCAGTTCCTAGGGCTTTTTTTTCATGTCATGATTTGGTATTTTAGCTTTTTGGGTTTTTTATCCTATTAATTGTAAATATTTGATGAAATATAATTAAGTTAAAACAATGTAATGTTAATTTGGAAATATACTACACAGGGAATAAAGGGGAAAAAAACAGTTGTCATACATCTGTAAATTCAATATTCTAACCATTTAGCAAACCTCTGATTCATAATTTCTTAAAAGCATGAACTTTTCCCTCTGTAGAGGACTGAAAGATATGGAGTTTTTTTCCTTCATCTTGTTCAAAGTACCTGTCTATATAGGAATTAATATTTGTCCCTATTTATCACCAGGATAAACTGCTTTATTTAAGCCCTGCATAAAAATTAAAAATGGAGGCAGTCCACTTCCAAATCACCTGTTACCTTCTTAATCACTAAACACACTTGTTGTGTCTGTATACACAGACAAAACTGTGGACACACCAGGTGCACTAAAGCAAATTGAGCTAACACATGAGCTCATCCCAAGCATAATTATAGTCTGGGAAATGAAGGGAAAGAGACCAGCCCTGAGGAGAAGGATTTGGGGTGTTGGTTGATGAGAAGCTCATAAACCTGCCACGTGAGTCTGTAGCTCAGAAAGCCAGCTGTGTTCTGGGCTACATCAAGAGAAGCGTGGCCAGCAGGATGAGGGAGGTGATTCTCCTCCTCTACTCTGCTGCTATGAGTCCATAACTGGAGTGCTGCATTCAGCTCTGGGACCACCAGCTGACGAAGATCATGGACCTGCTGGAGTCAGTCCAGAGGAGGCCATGAAGATGATCACAGAGCTGGAGAACCTATCCTATAAAGACAGTCTGAGCTGAGGCTGTTCAGCCTAGAGAAGGCTTCAAGAAGGTCTAAGAACAGCCTTCCAGTGCCTTAAGGGGGATTGCAGGAGAGCTGGAGAGGGACGTTTTGCAATGGCATGTAGTGACAGGACAAAAAGGGCTGGCTTTAAATGCAAAAGGGTAGGTTTAGATTAGACATTAGAAAGAAATTCTTTACTATGAGGGTGGTCAAATTCTGGTAAAAGTGGCCCAGAGAGGTAATAGATGTAACCTCCCTGGAAGCATTCAGAGTCAGATTGGATAGGCCCCTGAGTAACCTGGTTTAGTTGAAGATGTCCCTGATTATTGAAGGGAAGTTGGACTAGATGATCTTTAAAGGTCTTTTCTAAGTGATCCTATGATTTTGTCCCTCACTGTCAAGTATATGTAAGGGATTTTCTGATGATGCACTTGAGAGTTCAAAATATGCCACCGAGGCTGGCTATGGAGGAACCTGCACCAGCACAACATGAAATGGATGGTGAAACAGCACCTGCCTGGACTGCCAGATTTCTTCTAATGCCATGCCTGCAGTGCAGGCACAACTTTTAAGTCTGTCAACTTGACCAGAACAACAGTGGGGAAGGAAACTCCCCACTGGGGAACACATTTGGAATCAATAAAGAGAACTGCCTCGATCTATTGCAAAGAGCTTGTTAGGGGACTAGCAGGATGATTAGAGCTAGGGACCACCTTTTGTGTGGAGTGTCACAAATGGCTACCAGGCCATCATTCTCAGGGCCTTACTTTGTACTGTGTGTTACCAACTCAGCTGCAGCCAGAGCTGGCCAGCCACGCTGAACGCTGCTGTGGCTCTCCTCCCTCACTGTGGCATCACACCGCTCTCAGCGTGGGCTCTGCGCACTGACCCCACTCGCACACAGAGACTTGAAAGCAGGTAAAACAAGACACTAGGCTCATATTAGCAGGAGGAGACAGCGTGATCCAAATTATTGTAATGTTTTAACACGTGCTGTCATCCCTAGTCTAAGCTGCAAAGACAAAAAGGCAGACAGTCCTGAACCAAAACGTATGTTCCCTGCTGTACTAGAGCTGCAGCAGAGATGTGAATGTGTTTGTCTTCAACTTAACAATACCCCAGAGGGCAGTTTTGTATTCAACACTGCAAACTATCAGCATAATTGCTTTTCCACTTTAGCATTACAGAATTCCTTCAAAGTCTGCTCTGTTTCCCAAATTTCCAGTGTGGTCAGCTGCTCAGAGTTAGCACCTTGAAAAAACAGATCCCAAAATTATTGATATTCTGTCCTTTTATTCCTTTTTTTTTTTTTTCAGATTTAAATATACTTGAGGCATAGTTTGGCCAGGGAAGTTTAATTAGCTAAGACCACAAATTAACTGTTCAGATTAAATTGCTTCTATATATGTAGCACTGCAATATTTATTTATAAAGTAATTATTATTCAATTTTTGAGATAAAAGCATTTAGACTAAAAGCACTATTATGGTTCAAATGCATATTTATGTATTTCAAAACCCCAAACCCCAAACTTCCAACTATGATGAGAAAATGCTTAAACTCAGAGTAAGACTCAAAACAAAGGAAATAAATAAAACATTAAGGTTGAATATACAGACATAAGATTGTGAGCTTCTTGCAGCTAAGGCTTTCTTCCTTATGAAGTCTCTATTGAAGTGTCTAACAGACAGTGGATATCACTTAGTAATTATCCTCTTAATGTAAAACTTTCACATCACGTTTTCTGTGGGTTTGTTTCTTGTATTTCTTATCAAATCACACTTTTGGAATGATTTTTATCAGGCCCTGGGGACTGTAAGGGAGCCCAGGAGCAATTCAAGTTTTTAAATATTTAGGGAGGTTTTGATGCAAAGCCACTGAAATACATGTATAGCAAATGCTAAACAAGGTTTTTCTTTGATCTATATAACTTGTGGCACAAACATCACTGGTCTTTTCTCATATAATAATATTTCTTGGAATTTTCTTACTGCACTTCACATTTTTTCTTGCTCAACATGCCTTGAGGATTCCCTCTATGTTTTTTCCTGACTCCTACAAAAATATGAGAAGTTTCCATTTGCATGGATTAGTGCTCTACAGGTCTTCTCTATCCTTCTCAAAAATGTGACTGTATAAGGACTAAGTATTTTGGGAATCTATCTCCCAAAGAATTATAGACAAATTAGGCATTTAACTATTTTGAGAATCTTGGCCCAAATCACAGTGCTTTTCCAAGGTGCTTTTCGATGCTGACTTCTAGTAAAGGCTGTGGAGAACCCTCATTTCAGTATGAGAGGAAGTTCTTAAAGACAAAACACAACTCAGGAAATTCCCAAGAGTCTGTAGACTATGACATGGTTTTTGTCTTGGTGTATAACTCGCCACATTCATAGCTGCAGAACCTCCTAAGTTGAGATGGCCTTTAGCTTCAGCAGATGTCTCTGGCTTTCTGATCTTTCTTGATCTCCTCTCATTTAATGCAGTCTTCTCTTTGTGCTCAGAATGTCAACTGGGTGACACAAATCCATATATTCTGTTACATATTTCAGAATACCTAAAAAAACCCATGTCATCGATATTAGATTGTAAAGAAGCAATTTGCTTAATAAGCAATACAGACAGTCAAGACTGTAATTTTTGCAACAGGCTTCATACAGTGTCTCAGGTTTCTCTGAAATTCCTCAGAAATGGCTGGAGACTGTCAACCTTCTGAATATTTGACTCAGATTTCACCTACATATACACACATTTCATCATCTGAAGTGTGAGCCTTGCAAGAGCTGGAAACCAACCAGCTGTAAATCACATTGATGTTAAAAAGAAGGAAAAATCTCATTCCCTGCCTTCACAGTAAGGTACAGGAAGAAGAAAAAACTAAGTAAAATTTTGGCCACAGCTGTATGTTTTAGAAAAGCCCAAAGAAACAAAAAAACAACCTCCAGGGGCTATGCATTCTTTATTCTAGGTTTTTAAACTGAGGACATTTGCAGTCAGTGTTGACACCCTGTCCAAGGAACCTTGAAAGGCCATAGAAAAAGGAGAGGCCAGGCTACAGATAATCCTGAACAGTCACTCATGCTATTAACCTTGCCTTCACAAGTAAAGACAAGTGCAAGTAATACTGTGCTCCTTGCAAGCTCAAATGCTTTCTCCTAAGAGCAGCAGTGACAGGTGGAGGTATGTAAGAGGCAACTGTGGAAAAGCGAGCAGGACTCAGTTTTGCATAGGCCATAGCTACATTTTAGATTTCTGGAAGCATGAATTTTGGTAAAACATCTTGGCCATTACAGTTCTATATTATAATTCTGATTATACTGTAAATTCCATTAAATGAATATCTGCTAGCAAACACATTGAAAAGATGCAAGAGTGCACTGGGAATAACTCCCAATGCATTCACCAAAGTTATTTCATGAGAGTCCAGAATACCCCATTAGCAAAATCAGGTCAGTGAGCATCAGTTTCTCCTGTAAGACATTTCTGACCAGAAAGAATTTATGGTGCAGTGGTCATGTTTTTAGTATCTGACCTTTTAGGCCATGCAGAGGAAAATCAGTGGACACATTATACTACCAAATAGGAAATCCTGCTGAAAACCTAAACCAGGAAAAACTTAACTCCTCAAAGAACTTGCCCACATGTTGTCTTAAAGAATTTAGCTTTTCTTTTGAAAATGGGGATCCTGTAGAGAAATACCTATGTCATATGTGAACATGCCAACCTGACCAAAATATCAGTGATTTGTACAAGACTGCAAAAAAGATGGGATATGTTGCATTATTGGCTCAAGCAGCTTCTAGAACAATCAAACATTACACATGGTTTGTGGGGAAAGCATGAAAACTTCCAAAGACTGTCAGTTTGACCCCCAGTCACTCTTATACTTCAGAAAAGCTTAGCATGATGATAAATGCTCAAATTGAGAACTGCTGCACACAGTGTCTGTCTTAAACTGCTGATAATCTTGGATTACTTTTCAGATCTTCCCTGGTTTAGCAGCTTCTGTCAAGATGTAAATAAAGAAGAACATGTGACATTCCCTCAACCAGTCATGAAGAAGTCACTTGTTCACTGACTAGCTGGCAGGTATTCATGGCAAGGCTGTTCAGTCACTGGAATTTTTGCCTGTTGCCTAAGTGACCAGTAATCCACTCAAAGAATGACAGAGTTGCTGAGATGACAAGGGACAGTGTCTAGGAATGAGAAATATTTGACAGTGGAAAAATAGGTGTTTTTAGTGATGTTTTCATAATGTTTTCATTTTTCCGAAGAGAGCTGGAATTGCAGAAGGCAGACTGAGATCACTAAAACTCTTTTGCACATGGATTAACTTGTAATTCACTTACTCATATGCATGTGGGAATACAGCTTCTCAGACCAGCTTCCTTCAGCAATAATGCGGTTTATGCTTCTGCTCTTGTGTTCTAATAAAAGTCACGAGATTAAAAATTCTCCCTAGTGACTTCCATCCAGACCTGAAATGTAAGAAAACGGATCATATATGGTACCTAGAAACCACAGCGACTGCATTTTTATAAAAAAAGCAAGAGATCAGTTGTAATGTGACGTGGTTTCTCATGGGATATACTAATCCTGCTCAGAAGAATTAGCTCACTTGGCTCAATTGCTCCTTCGGGGCTTACAAATAATGCATGTTCGAGTGATACATATTTGCATGGTATCAAGAACAGTGTCATTTTTTGCATGGTATCAAGAACAGTGTCATTTATGCTTTAAGGTGCCCCATAATATAAACTCTAGTTATAGAGAAAATTCTAATCTCATTAACATAGCCTTATACTAAAGCAGTTTTACAGGAGAAGCAATAAACTTCATTATTTTTTTAGTGTTTATACACTTTTTGCTCCTGGATCATAAGAATAAATATAGACATTGAAGTTATGTAAGTCATGAGACACAGAGGCTACGGCAAAGCCCTGCTCTTCAAGGTGCTTAGGCTTTGTTCTCTGTCCTGTCTAACCAGCTAATTCTTGTTAACCATGCAGGTCTGTATTGGTTTTGCATGGCCTGGTTTTAGGTAGCAGGGAGGCTGCAGAGGTGGCTTCTGTGAGGAGCTGCTGGAAGCTTCCACCATGTCCAGCAAAGCCACTCTCTGATGGCCTTGATCCCTGAAGATGGACACGCTGCTGGCCAAAACTGAGCCAATGAGAGAGGTTGGTAGTGCCTCTGTGATAACATATGTAAGATGAATATCAAAACAAATTCAAGGGGTTTTACTTCTTGTCAGAGAAAAGGAGGAGGTGAGAACATGTGAGTCACCAAAGTCAGTGTTGAAGGAGGGGCAGGAGGTGCTCCAGGCATTGGAGTAAAGATTCCTCTGCAGGCCATGGTGAGGACGATGGTGGAACAGCCCTGCAGCCCTTGGGTCCTGTGGGAGGGACCCCACAGCCTTAGAGGGGAAGGACTCCTTTCCTGGAGGAGCAGAAGAAAATCTCAGTGGATGAACTGGCCAAAACCCCCCTGCCCTGTCTCTCTGCTCTATTGGTGAGAAGGAGGAAGAGGCTGGAAGGAGAAAAGGGGTTTTAAGGGCTTATTTTGCTTCTCATTATCCTCCTCTGATTCTGTTAGTAATAAATTCACTTTGTAACTTCAGTTGAACGTTTTGCCCTTGAAGCATTTTCTCACACTCCTTATCTCACTCATGGAGCCTTCTTTAATTTTTTCCTCTCCCCTACCCAGCTGTGGCAGGGGAAGGTGAGAGAATGACTCTCGTGGGTGCCTAGTGTTGAGCCAGTGTCAAACCATGACAAGGTCTTCACCCTCTCACTTTCAGGGTGGCATCCTACCCATGTCTCAGTGCCTCCACTGCTCCTACTCCTTGGGAAGTCCCTGTTAGGTGAGCAGTCCCATAAATCCCAGTAATAAGAGAAACTAACCCGTGTGAGCAAGAGAGTCAGAGCAGGCCCTGAGGAAGGGAAGAATATCATTATCTCTCATTGGCCTGCTGCTGCTCTGACAGCTGCAGATCTGAGCATTACTATGTGAGGCCACGTGAAAAACAGAGTGAGGGACACACACACACACACAGAGTGTATTTCATGAGATACCGGGAAGAACAAGACAGAGGAGATAATCTCATTATTTAGGGAAGATAAGACAGGCTGTTTAAAACAATATAATGTTATCTACTTTAAATAACGAGTACTAACACACAATTTAACAAGCATTGCTTACTCTAGGAAGCTTAATTACTCTTCAAAATGCATTCAATACAAAATTTCTCAAGCTGATTGCTTCTGCTGAATGTCAATGCATAATGTCCTAGCCACTTCAGTAGAAACTGCTATGTAGCAGCCAAATTTTCTTCTGCTCCATAAGTGACATGTCATGAAAAATTATTTAATGAGCTGCTGCATTCTGCATCTGTGTAAATAACTTTCATGTAAACATGCATTACAGATGATCAATGTGGCTTCCCCAGTGCTGAGAACAGTCAGCAGTTATGGCTGTGTGAAGTGCCTCAGGGCGTTGTGGGAAGGTGGAGATTTAGAGCTGATTCTGCAGCAGTTTCTATTGATTAAAGCTTGGCTTGCTACAGACCCTCTCTCCCTATCCTTCAAGACATCCTTTCATATCTCCTTTCTTCAGTCACCAGTGAGGCTTTGATCCTCACCCACCTTTTGTGACAGCATTGTTCCTGGCACCTGTGGTTCAGGGATCTGCAGCTCCCGTGTAACTCACACCACAGAGGAGACATCACCACGTGTAGGGACGGTCAGGGAAGCACAGTAGGGACAAGACAGAATAGGCAAAACCCAGGTAAAGAAATACGGAGAAATATTAAGAAAGATGATTCTAGGAGACGTGGCTGAGGCTGGTGGTACTGCCAGCAAAATCTCTCAGGTACCAGTCTAGAGCACTGGGGGATGTTTCTGTGAACCTCCCAGGGCATTCAGGGAGGGTCAGGGAGGATTTGTGTGGTACCTGAAGCAGGTGGCAGGATGTGAGAGGGAGGTGGCACAGAGGAGCAGTGTGTACCCGCTACCGAGGGTGGCAAATGGGGCAGAAAGCAACATGGAAACATGGAAAAGAGAAGATATTTCTGATCTTCTTCTGCCCTTCCTTATCACAGTCCAATGTATGTTTTTCAATGTTTGCAATTTTTTCAAAGAAGTCTTGTCTCTCATTTCTAGTTGGTCATATAACTGACATATATATTACATATATATATATATGTACTATGTATACTATTATATTTTACATAATACATATTTCTCTTATTTTAGGAATGGAAATGCATCCTCAGATCTTGCCTTGGCATGATATGCAGGAGCAGTTTTCCCATGCAAGGCTGCATCCAGCTTTCACAGTGTGTGTACTTTTGATGTTGCTGCTGGTAAAAAATAACTAAATTCAATTTATTAATGTCCAGTTTGGTCTTCTAAACAAAATTGCTTTGCAATACTTGAAAAACCAAACAACGGGGTTCATCTTCATATTAAATCATTTGGTCTCAACAGATATTGCAGAAAATTAGGTGTTCATACTTCTGTCCACTGGCACTGTATCACTATGTTTGCCAATGTCATGCTTCTGCATATTGCACCTAATTGTGTGTACCATCAAGACATTTAAGGATTGTCAGTACTGCCATGAACTGAGCTGCCTCAGATTATGTTCTGATGACTCTTGAGAGAAAAGAGGAGACTAAAGAATTTTTGGAAGGCTGTAGATTACTTTCAAGGCATTAGCTGTTGAACACATAGATTTTCACTGCAGGCAGACACATTACCAACCTTTTGAAAAAGGCTTAATATGACCACATTAAAAGCCCCATATTTTAAAGAGGAATTTACAGCATGAACAGGAGTCTGCTAAAATGAAAATATTTGGGTTTTGCAGAGGTCATTGTAGTAACTGCTTTCAGCTGGGACTCATGGTTTTTGAGTCCTTTGAACTGCCTCAGCTAAATCACTGAAATAGAGAAATCTGAGCATGAGACACTTTGAAAATCTTTGCCTACTCTTGAGGGGGAAAAATACAACCCAAAATAATATCTTGAGTCCTGCTACTGATATTAAGAAACAAAGTTAATCCTGTTTGTGCCTGAAGTTTGCAGTGAGAATGTCTCACTAATGGCTAAGGTGGCCATCAAGATGTATTCTGAGGTGTGGACTTTCAAAACTATATCCCCCACTTTTCTTCCTGCAAGAAGTATATTTCAGTCTCTAAATTGTTAAAAAGCAAATGTATTTGGAAAAATCAGTACAACAGACAACATCTATGTCAGGAAAAGCAATAGGATGTTGGTTTTGGAGTCTGACCTCATCTTAAACTTCCCTAGAAAGAAGAAAGAACAAATTGTCTTTCCCCAGGGCTCTGCTCCTAAGGTCCAGGTGATGCCCAGCTGGAGAGGGGACCTGTCAGAAGGTAATGGTTAGCAGGAAGTTTGCTCCCCAGCTCTGTCATCTGCCCAGCAAAGTTTGCAGTAATTGCAAACTATGTTTCTGAAAAGGTTTCTTCTATTGTGCTTGTCACAACTCTTGACATGTTAAGTAGGACAAAGACCAGGACAAACATGACATATACCCTAAGGACAAGTAGCTGTCCGATTTTCCTCCAGCTGGCTACAATCCCAAATTCTCAGCAGATGACACATGCACCACATATCCTCCAGTATCACAAACCCCAATGAGTCTGTCATTCATGCAGCAATTACAATGTTAGGTAAAGCTAAAAGAAGGAATCTAGGACTGTGAGGCATGAACAAATGACAAACTGAAGAAATTTGGAGTTGGATAACATGCCAAGCACTCAGTTCGGAAATCAAAACAAAATTAATTTCTATATCTTCATTACTTGTGACAACAGCCTCGCTACAGCTCAACTCGCTGGCTGAAAACCCGCTGCTGCCACCCGGTGTTACTCTGCCAGCATCGGCCTGCATTTACTGGGAGCAAGGAATGGTCATGGCCTGCAGTTCCAGGTGTCCCAAGACAGGTGTTTATGGCTTCTGACAGAGGAGAATAGAGAAAACGGCAATGTATGTACATATTCTTGTGTGTGCATATTGATCCCAGTTATCTAAGGCATCGTGTTGGCGTGATCTTAAAAAAAATGAAAAATGGTGGGAAAGAATAGGAAATAACTGTGGTTGTTCAGTTATTGTCTGTATGAAGCAATTGGTAGACAGACTATTTTATTTGATTTGGAATCACATGCAAGTATATTAAATCCCCAGGAAATGAGTGAAGAGCAGGTGACTAGCAATATCATACCTCTTTTCATTTAAATAATCCACTTTCTTTCAAGTTTCATTTCATGAATTTTCTTCAGTGGTGCTGCTTTGCTAAGCAAAACCTAATGCATTTGTTACAGCCCAGGGAATGAGCTGCAGGTTGAAAGGTAGATTGAGAAGAAAAGCATACATTCATTGTGATTTTCCAGGTGATCAGTAATATTCAGGAGTCTAACTTGCCTTGCACTCCAAATTGATTGTTTTACCCAAGATAATTAAAGCCTACATTCTCTGAGTGCAGCAGCTGCTTGTGAATGTCAATGTTTTGGCCAGAAGCCTTTTCTCAAGACAATTCAAAATGCAGTATTGTTAATATGCTGTCCTGTGGGGAGCATGTTGTGACTGAGAGGCTTCTGCTCATCAGACTATACTCATTCTATTCATTTTTGCACTGAGTTATTCTTCTGTGACAGGTAGGGTTTCATTTTGTTCAGAGGAAATCGAGCTAAACATTGTTTTGTATCACATCCTCTTGAGAAGGAGCAATGTAGGAATGCAAAAATAGGGAGCAGAAATTTAGCTCTGTAGTGTTACTGGGCTTTTCTTGCATGAAATAATAGATCTGTTTGATTGCTAGAACATAAGGCAGGTTCCAACAGAAACCTCCATCATTCTTAGGAATGACACAGCATGTAGGTTGGGAAAAAATTAAAAACAAATAGCAGAATAATTTATACTGTATAAGATACTTCCAATCCCTGGACTTTCCCAAGCCTATCATGAAATTTGCCAAAACCACAGCCAAAAAAGTAGAAATGGCTTGGGTGAAATTCCTCCAGCTGGCTAAACCAAACTGTTCCCTTCTAGCTCTGTCATCCGAATTGTTGATTCTGCTTCCCCTTGCACTGACCCCAATGACGGGTCCATCCTCTGCAGAGTCAGTTCAACCCACTAGAATGGCAAAAATCCACTCACTAGTCTATTATGTTGTCTTTAGCCAGATGCACTGGCTCACAGCAGGGCTAGTTAAGCCTTGTAGATGGCAGAAAGAAAACAAGAGGAGTAGGAAGATTGGAGGAGAGGATCAAGTACCCCTGCTACAGAACTCCAGTCATGCAACTCGTCACTATCAGTGCTTTGCTTACAAACAGCCTTATTAATTTTTAGGTAGAATTTTTGAGACTGCATCTTTAATAAAGATGTCTTCATTAAACAGCAACAAGACCTTTATTCTGGGGAGAAAGTTACAGAAGAGTAGGCTGTCAACACAAACTTACATTTGGCTCTGGACTCTGAGCAGAGATTGACAGCCACACCAAAGAAATGGGGACATATTCACTGATGCTGGTGTGATTGGAGGTGATTATCAGCTCTCACAGCAGGGAGTGTGTTTAATTTTTCAGGAGATATTTTGACCTTGCCAGTTAAGAAATAACTCAAGGAACATATCTGCTTATGAAAGCTTACATAAGCATATCCACCCATGCAGCTCCTGAATGGTAACAAGGCATTTCCAGCTGCACATCCTTCTCCTATCTTGACAGGAAGGAAAGGATTATCAGCCCTTGGTGAACACTGATTTTATCTTTTTTCAGCTATTGACTAGTGAATTCAAATCATCATCTTGAGACACAGAATCATATGTCTCATACTTGAGAGACACCTGGACTCATTTTCTTCAACCCTCTTTGAGCAAAGCTAATATGAATCCTGATTTCCTAGGATAGTATTAGGTGAGATGGAGCAAAACAAGGAATAGGCCCTAGGAAAGGAGATATTGACACAGAAAGGTCCCAATACTTTGTAAAGGCAGCATCCAGGTCACCAGAGTGTTGTCTGAGCCACATCTGGACATGGATGACAAAGAGAACCCCAGGTTATTCAAGAACTCACCTACATGTCCTGCTAGCCTAACAGTGAGGGGAGTTCCAACAGTGACTGAGAAGGAGGGTGACCTTTCTCCTTCTTCATCTCATATTGTAGCCAACCCTGACACTGAGTCCTGTGTCTGGTTTTGGGCCCCTCATTTCAAGAAGGACATTGAGGTGCTGCAGTGTGTCATGAGAAGGGCAACAGAGCTGGGGAAGGGTCTGGAGCACGAGTCCTGTGAGGAGTGCCTGAGGGAGCTGTGGTTGTTTAGCCTGGAGGAAAAGGGGCTCAGGGGAGATCTTACTGCTCTCTACAACTACCTGGAAGGAGAGTGTAGCCAGGTGGGTGTTTGCCTCTTCTCCCAGGCAACAGGTGACAACACATAGCCTCAGGCTGCACCGGGAAGGTTTGGATTAGACATCAGGAGGAATTTTGTCATAGAAAGCATTATGCAACATTGGAAACAGGGCGGTGGTGGAGTCACCAGACCAGGAGGTGTTCAAGAAACAAGTGAATGTGACACTTAGTGCTATGGTTTACTTGACAAGATGGTGCTTGGTCAAAGGTTGGACTCAGTCTTGGAGGTCTTTCCAACCTTAATGATTCTATGATCAAATCCATGAATGGAATTCAAGCAACTTCTTGTAGCAGTTAAATCAGAGATCCCATATACCCCAGAAGAAACAGCTGAGGCTCAATGTTCCTGTTAAGCTTACAGTGACAAGTCAATCCTCCTTCGTGCTCCTCCTTCCTCTCAAAACTCTGAAAATTTAATGTTTGAATTGAGGCTCCAGTATTTCTGTAGAGAAGGGAGCTTCAAAGCAACATGAATACAGCATGCAGGAAAGTCAATAAACATGTGTGATAGAAAGTGAAAACACTGACAACACAGAGACAGGAGAACTATAAGAAAGGACACCTTTATGTCCAAGTGTAAATGGTAAAATATGGGTCAATTTTCAGGTAAAAATGATCGGAGTTATGTCGGAATGCTATTAATAAATATCAAAATGTTTTACAAAGACCTGTTTATTATCAGTTCCTTCTTTTGTTTTATGTAGGAGAAAACTGAAACCTAGATCTCTGTATCTTTCCTGGTGCCCCCGTGATTAGTGCTAACAGTGTGAATTCTGAAATCTGAGCACTTGAAAGACTAAAGGAAATGTCTTAGAAAACTCCCTTATTTCAACCAGTTCTGCAAGAGTACATCCTGGATTTAACAAGCTCCCGTTCTGTTTCCCTGTCTCATGTCCCAGCCTTCATTCATTTTGCAAGTCCTTTGGTAATACTATTTCTATAGAAGCTTTGGCTCTTCTGAAATAAAATGAAAAGCTGCTTCTTCATGGCAAGTTAGCTCTATCAGAGAAGAAAAAAAAAATCAACAGCTTATTTAAACTTCCATTATTTAATTGAAATTAAAAGTGGATATTTAATTACAGTTATGATTGAACTTCTGTTGCATTACAGTGGTATCTCTGTGAAGATACAGCACACTGATTAACAATGAAGGAGCAAATAATGTTAGCAGAATTTGAGCACAAGCAGTAACCTCCTCTTAAATGCCCATTAACTATTACTTCATTGATAATAAATTATGATAGACCATGTAAGAACTACCTGAATATTAAATGATCTTACAAGGGGTGCACAGGTAAGAGGTACAAAATTAATTCATACTAACTGGACATGAAGTCTTTGCAATGAGAGAATAATTCACAGAACAGTCTGAAATAATTTTTTATTGCATTATCTTCATGATCCATCAAAAGATATAAAAATACAAAAGTACAAATTATGGCATCCTCTGCTAAGCATGGCCCTATCAGATGTGATCAACAATAATTGAAGGAGGCTACTGCCCTTGTCACCAACAGGAGAGAATGTATCCATTTAGCAAACTCCATATCAAGTTAAGGAGAGGAAAGCCCTTGGACTTAAAGACATAATCTAATAGATCACTTCATTTACATTGCAGCAGAAATAACCACCAGGACAGGATCCCAAAACTGGCTGGTCAGTGAATATTAGACTTCTCCTGTGATTATCTGGAGTTCTTCAGAATTCTGAGATGGCACAAATATCCATGTAACATTTCCATACACCAGTAGAGGCCACCACACACTTCACAAAACTACCAGACCGCCTGGTCAATCAGTTCGCTCATTTCCGAGTCTGGTGAGAGCTCAGGGCAGGATCCCACCAGGGCCAGGCTGCTGCTCACATATTTCCACAAAGTGCCTGCTTCTTCAGAGGCTCATATATTCTCAAGTACTTTTCCCCTAGTTTATCTCCTTTCTCCTACAATCCAGAATTCAATCCCATACCAGTTCAAATTCACTCTCAAGATCCATCTTTGCAATATGTTCTGTTCCAGATATGCCAAATATACATTAGCTCAGTTGGTTAGAACACGATGTTAATAATGCCAGGGCTCTGGGTTTGAGGCCCACATGGGCCATTCACTTAAGAGCTGGACTCAATGATCCTTGTGGTTCCCTTCCAACTTAGAATATTCTGTGATTCTGTGAAATTCACTGAACAGTTTCTCTCAGATTACAAAGCCACTGTGAGTGCAGTGTGGCAAGGCACATTATCTGTATGGCATACCAGTGCTCAGTGAGAAAGATGGCAATGCTTTCTCTTCAGACAGTGATAAACAAGAAAATCTGATGCCAAAACCATGGCTCATCTTCTGCCTCACTCACCCTCTAGACACCAGCTGAGGTTTTTAAGGTTCAGTGATAGAAAACTCCTGTTTTCTATTTATGCTCATCACACAACTTCCTAAGAGATATAAACAGTGTTTCTTGATACCCAAGTTTTCCAAATATGCACATGGGCTACAAGTCATAGTTGCACTCTGTTCATCAATACCTACCAGGGATTATTTTCACTCTTATTTATGTTACAGAGATAATTTGAATTGTAGGAAGACTCTCTTTACAAGGTTTATATTGGTACTAAATAAAGACACATTAAAAGAAAGGAAATGGCATTTTCAGGATGAATATGACTGAGGTATTTTAAATTTTCACTCCCTGTTGAAATACATGCATTGAACTGCAATAAAAGAGCCAGCGTAAAAATCCAGATGTGCCTAAAAGTCCAGTAGACAGTGAAACATGGCCCTTGATTCATTAAAAGATGCTGTCAGGACCCCAGTAACTTTGAAAGATTTTTTGCAAACAGTTAAAATGCTCTTTCAAGAGTGAAGTGTAAGTGTCTTGTTATCTGAAGTACACAACACGTATAAAGTTGTGCAAGCAGTATTACAAAGAGCAAAATATGTCTATGGAACTGAAGTGCCAGACAGGTAGAGAACTGAGGGGGAGACAGATTAACAATGAATGATAAAGATGGCAGACAGTTCATTAATGCTGTTTCTGAACAGAATTATTCAGAAGATGAAGCTAAGACCATTTTATAATGTTCATCCCCACAGCGAAATGAGGAAAATGCATCTAGTATTAGGCTTTCTGAGCCTATGTACAAAACATGAGGAATGTCTTTTCTTTCCAATAGGCAAAGAGCAGCATTATGGAGTCTTGTTCAGATTGCCATTTCAGTTATGCTTTGAGAAAAATACAAAACAGGAAGAATAAATTTGAATTTTAAAAGCTTACTTTAACATTTAAAACTCGCTTGGTTTCCATCTAGAATGAATCCCAAAAATCTATAGTAAAAGTCTGAATGGGTCTGAAATCTGAAAGCAAATAAAGAGTGTGTGTACCCATAGATGTGTGGGTTTTTTTCACTTTTTCTGTTGGGTAAATATTGTCTTCTCTCAAAAAAAGAAAAGAACTGGGAAACTTCTGCTCCTGAAAACAAATCTTTAAACCATATGTAACAATTCCTGAGGGTTAGGTCTGCAAAATACTGATTACTGTGCGTAAAACATCTGTATCTTAATTTCAAGTACAATTACACTTTGCACTTAGTATGACTGCAGATGTAAATGAGTCCACTGATTGTATTCAAGAACCAGAATAACTCATATAAGTGTAAGGAGCTTCTATGGGTACAGAAAATGGGTTTGAGCAGATGCAGTTTGTTAGGTCTAATACTCTGCTGTCCTAGAAAATATCAGCATATATTTTTTCTTAAAACCAGTAAAAATTATTTTCAGAACAGTTCTGCTTTTTTTTTGCTTTTTTTTTTTTTTTCCCTAGTCCCTATTCTTAATGGAAGATTATACCAGACCTCATTTCTCTTACCAGAAGTCAGTTAATTCTAATTTCTGTTCTGAATTCTTTCTCTGGAAACTGTGCCAAAGTTCCCTGCTACCTTAAATAACTTTTTCTTCTTCTCAGAGTTTACTTCTGTGGTGCCTGAATAGTGACCTCCCTTCTCAGCTTGTCTATATCTGACGTGGTCCTCTAGCAAAACAGGATCTTGTGAAATATGATTTAAGTGTTAGGTCATGCTCATAGCTCTTTTCTGAACATGTCCCTTTCCACACTTCATTGTAGGAAGCCACTGCTGTGTACAGCCTTTTTGATGAACTGTGCCAGCGTCTTGCACAACAACTTTATGGTTTTTATTATCTCTGCCGGAATTAATGTGTCCAGATGTTCACTTCACTCCCTATAGCAGATCCTGATCACATATCTCTGACTGATAAGACTTTGAGCTTAGATGTTGCTGCGACGATTAATTGATGCATTCCTAAATATTTTTTATGATCTCATTCTTATTTAATTATCAATGTTTTTTGGCTTTTGTGCATGTGATTCTGCTTCACCCAGTGCTGCTTATGCCTGTACCTCCCTGCATTGTCATCCACCCATGTACTCGTTTCCAGTGCCTTTACCTCTTCCTGCTTTGAGCTTCTAAAACCTAGCTTTGAGGTAGACCACAAATAACTTCTTTGTGACAACTTCCCTTTCAGGGAGCACAACTGTACAAATTAAAAAGCTGTCACACATCTAGTTACCCTGATGGCTGCTCCGATACAGAAAACTGTATCAGGATGAACTGAACTGGATACCTACTTAACTTTAAAAAAAAAATTAAGTGATTTCCACATTTCTGGCAATGGCATCAGCTGGAAAGAATATTTATTCATTTGAACCCCTTGTCCCAGAATTCCATTTAGCCTTAAACTTTCAGTGGGCTTCACAAAAAAACAAGCATAAAAAAGGGTATTTTTATTACTATCGTTAATAAAAAATAGATAATGGAAAAAAAAACTTGCACTCTTCTAAAATCAAATTCCAGCGTATGAGGTGCAGAAGTTCAGGGATTTGAGAAGGAGATGAACACAAATAAACATGCTGTGAATCTCAGCAAAGCCAACTGTATGTCTTTATAAATAATTAGCAAGGTCTACAACACCCCTGGTCCCCTATGATTTGAGTTTAAAGGCCATTTTAATTCAGCCCCAAA